TCTAGAAATCGCATGAGTGAATTCAGCGAGCACGGCGCCAATGACGGATGCCTCCTCCTTGGACACAGTTCCGCGCAATACGATGGGCTAGCTTTGAGAAGGGCTAAGCAAGTTTTTTGAGCGCGGCTCCCAATACTCGCTCTTTTTCGATCATCCAATTTCTTTTCTTTTCGTGTCTTCCAAGTAGTGGAATCGTGCAATATGATCAGGAGTTGCGAGGAAATATTACAATCGATCCCATGGACAAAAACCGTCATGAGAGCTCATGATGAACGCTGTTGCGTCTGTGAGGCAAGCTGGACGCTCCGATGCTTGTGTGGAAAAGAGAAGCGAAAAGAATCTTCTCAAGTTCGTTTTACACAACAGATTGCTCCAGGATAGTCCTCGTTGATTAGAGATATGTAAATTATTTTTTTCGATGGTCCGCCATTCGGACATTGCATCGATGCGGCGGACAGGGATTCATGAACGAAGACCGATCGAGAGAATTTCCGGATCGGGATCGATCGCCTCCACCATCGAAGACTGTGTCGATGCCTTGATACGACCAGACAGAGATCGAGCCCGGGTCGCTCTTCGAGCGGAGCGTCTCGGTGTTCGAGCTCCGACAATCGTGCTGCAGAACCTGAATCTCGGGAAAACAGGTGCGCGTCCACGAAAGTTCCATAAGAGAGCGAGGCTCGAACTGAGAGCGCACTCGGCCGCGAAACTTCGTGATTCGCTCAATGATCTATATAAGTAGCACTCACAGTAGCTCATAATCGAGGGCGCCATGTCTGCGGACGCGGAGCGCGGATCCTTAAAGGGCTGTCTTAATCCTCAGGAAAGAGTAAACTTCAGATGAGGGTCTTCGGAACGGTCGCGCGATGGAATCCTTCGCGTTTGAAGATGAGATTACTCGACGACAGGGAATCACAATCACGTGACTTCCTCAGAGCTGTCCGGCTCCGGAGTACTCTCGCACCTTGCTTTCCCCGCGACCACGAAACGGCCAACTTCTCTAACGAATGCTCGATAAGCACTGCCGGCTTGAACGCCAACAGCCGAACGCTGACTTCACACGCTTCTGGGAGAGAAGCAACCTGCGCCCTTACCACACCGCTTTGTTGCGCGTCGTAATGCAAAGTACCAGAAAGAAAACTACGCTGACTCACCGCTCTGGAAACTGTGCAGAATGACAGCGCAAAGAGACGGCACGAAGTCATGGTGCTCATGACACGAGTCACTGATTCATGCGACAACTTCTGGCGTGAAATCCTGGATTCTCGGATGATTCTCACGGACAAGTCCCCGGAACGCTCAGAATCCAGGGCGTCGTATTCTACATATTCACCCATATATCTCGCACGTGAGCTCCCTCTGGAGTCACAAGACTCCTCACGAGAGCAGAAATCAAATTCCCTTCCCTTAGACCAGGAGATAATCATTATCTTTCGGGAGAGACTTCTCGAGGCGATCGGGGGGATCTTGATGGAGCTCTTCGACTCTCCGGGAGCCTCTCCGACTCGTGGCTCTCAGGAGGGTAAAATCAGTAGATGTCCGTAGGGTATCCCGACGCATTCCGATAGGTTCTGAGAATCATTCCACTACCCTGTACCTTCGTCTAATCCTCGACACTCCAACTGGCGGAAGACATACGCTACCTTCACCCGCTCTCCGAAGAAACGATTTCTAAGATATATGGTGTCGGCTATCGAGATTGTGCGATTCCTGAGCTGAATGAGTCAAAGCCTAGAGTTCGTACCCCATTGCACGCATTGTCCAGGCGACTCGCTGCCACAGTCGTGAGTCACGGAGGAGTGGCACCAGATTAGTTCGAATTTCTCTCCAGCGGCTCATCTGTCCAATGATCATTGAATGACCATCCGATGGGGCTGTCCATTCTCAGCCGCTCGAAGTCCTACGGAAAAAGCGGATAGGATCCGACACGCATATTCGTTCATCCGCGCTCTCGCAGAAATGGTCTTGAGAACGTTTGGTGCCGGAAATGCGGAAGGTTCCTCCTAGGCACCGATCTCATAGCGCGTCTGCAACGACCCTCTGATCCGACATGTGCACTCATCCGTCAGGGACCTCTTCTGCGACACGAGGGTGGATGCAGGCTTGTAGATCGTTGGTACAAGAAGATCACGCAGACGTGTGAGCCGTCGAGAGTACTTCCGCTCCCGAGACGCATCGCAGGGAGCCCAAGTCCGATGATGCCTGATGAGGTCTTGAGCCTCGGATCGGAGAGGCAGCAAGAGTGCGAACGCGTTTTCTCCCAAAGTCTGATGATACATTGTAACATACTTTTCCAACGCCTCTCCATTTTTTCTCGAGGACCGGCTCTGATCCGTGATGCTTTTCTTCGATCCGCGATGCCGTTTCAATGGGAGCCGAATTCCGAAACCCTGACAGCGTATGCTATATCTTACATTGCTCATCGTTCTCTTGTTTATCGGTACCCAGAAAATTCCAGTCACAACAAACAGTCAATGGCTAGTCGTCTGTTATGTCTGCGGATTGACAATGCCACATTCCTCAAAATGCTTCCCAGAAAACGAACACTCCTCATATCGAGTTATATCTCGTGTGTCTCTCTCGCCCTGTCACACTCGTATACGCGCATATGCTTCTACATATGAAGCTAATATGGTTCACAAAAGATCAGGTCTTCCCACCGCGCTGACAAGCAAAAGGCGAGATTCAACCCCGGGAGCTTATCGTGATTCGTGATCAACCATCTCATGGCAATCGATCCTATCCAAGCTCGACGCAAAACCTATTTCGGCGTGCCTCGGAAAGTATTGAAGTCGCATTCGGAGCTTCCCGGAATCGAAGGCCCGGAACATCGAGGAGGAGGACCGCCCAGAAGCGTCAACGGAGCGTACGAGTCAGTAACATCAGAATCACCCTCACTACGTGAACCGAGAATAGAAATCGTAAAACGATACTAAGCCGAGCAAACAAATGCTTTCCATTGACGGTTTAGCATTCGGTCACAGTGGCCAGTCAGCTTTGTCGGCCCCACCTGAGACGTAGGGGACCTTGACCGAGAACCGACTAATCTGAGCGGAATGCACCGCTGGTGGCGATCGCGGGAAACATTTCCGCGGATCCGAACATGAACTTGAGCCAGTTTTCTGAATTCGAGAGCGTTTTAGTGGACTGCCATCCGAATGTTTCGCCGATGAGACATCGATACGGAACCAGTGGATCATTCTTAAGTTATCGCGTGGCTCATACATCATGGTCGATTTGACCTTTTCCCAGCGATATAATTTCCGATTCCTCAATCGCACCTGATGATTCCCCTCTATTGTTAGGCGGGCGAAGGAATCGCGAATTATTTTACTTTTCACTGTTGTTGTGGTATTATTCACGATCGTTCATCATATCGCATAACGAGCATTTCCCTTCCAAGGTTCGAGCTCAATTGATTCATTCTTGCCACTATCACAGCGAAGAAGAGCATGGAGGTATGCGCGTAATAGGCGATATCGATGTGACGAGGGCGAACTTACAAAGCTTCATTTCCAGATGCGAATCACGGGCTCATATGAAATTCCGTTTATCTCACAGAAACGCATCTTTCCCGCCAGATAGAGGCATAATATGGCCCCCGAAATTCCGAGCGAAAATTCCGCGAAACCCAGAATCGAAAATGATCCATTAAAGATGTGCGACACTTTCGGTGGATGATACGATTCGTTGCCGGAGCAAATCGAATGAAGACCGGCAAGTTCGTCAGGGAAGCTCACTGATTGACAATTCGGGAGCTATGCGTGGAATGTGGTCACGAGCCATCAGCTCTGTATTTGAGAGAGAGTGAGTGCGCGCGCGTGAGCCTGCGTAGTAGCCCATTCGATCGATACCCTGACGTATCAAGTCCCGTCCAACGTGAAAATAAACGGTCAACGTCAACCGACAGCTATCCAATGGAGTGTCTCGCTGACACGGAGCCAGCCGACGCGGCTTCTCCTCCACCTTGAATGTGACCACTTGACCGGAATTTTGGTCAGAATCCACCGAGTTGTACGGCGGGGAGCACATGCCGCAGTATCGCCGATTCGACCGCCCAAGCGTTCTATCAGAAAAAGACACTTCGCTCAGTTTTTGCTCTAGTGTTGCATTCCGGTCCCGTGGGCATCACTCGTCTCTTCTTCTCCCCTCCAGAGCTCCATTCGAGTGTACATCGAATATATATTCGGGATGCCCCACGTCATCAGACATGAGATTTGACAGCATTCGAAAAACAAGGAATGTTCCGAGCGAAATCCCATCGTGGGAGCGATTGATGTCGAGATTAGACCCACCAGAGAGCGACAGTCGATCATGCGATCGCTCTCGACTCTTATAAGCGAAACAGTTCAGTTGATTTCTTTTTAACGTTGCCTCGCACAAATATGCGGAGTCGTATGTATGGCGCAGTGCCTGGAAGCAGCCAAAGGTCTTCAACATTGTTCTGTACTTCGTCCTCATTGCCTCCGCGGAATTCGGTCAGTCGGGACCTTGTTTGCGGCACGGAGATTGCTCAAACAACTGTCGCTTCACTGGGTCTGCTGTCTGCATGCCTAACCTTATGCGTCATGTACCTCATCTTCCAAGTGGTCGCTTGAAGCAGCCCAACTCGTTTGAAATAATCGTCCCTAGCGCAAGATCTACACCGCGACGCCGAACGAGCTCTGTGCCTGGAGCTGAATTGTCCAGCTGAGCGTATTCTCAAGAATCCCCCTCCCTCAAAAGCTCTGCTTAGTTCAGCATCAGACTCCAAGTACCATCAGGTACAAATAGAATAAGAGAAATCAGGAGATCTTCGTCGGATAAAATTATTCCAGAGAGAATTCTCCCAGCATCGAGTTCAGCTCTTCTACTGCGAGTAGGTAATGGAATAAGCTCCGCAGCAAAGCGATGAAATCGCCTTCGCTATCTGTCAATCGCCGGTTCATGCTAACCGAGAGCTGTGGTTGCTCCAGACGATTCTGAAATAATACAGTAGAGGAGGAACGGGGAAAACTCACCTTGTCCGTCGACATCACATTTCACGACGTCACCCATGATTCGAGCAAATTCTTTGCAAAACAGGCTTTCCGTGCAAAAATATAGAGCTGACGCGAGTCAGATCTCGGGAGTCGAGTGAGCCCCGTGCTAAGCCGTGAGGAAGAATGCACTAATGCACAGACCTCGCGTTCAGCTTCGCGTTCCTCCCTCAGAGAACGGAGAAGAAGAAGAAGAAGATCTAGAAGATTCAAACCTCGAGTCAGGCTCTTGACTCAGCCCAAGGTCAAGATTCGTGTTGCTCTACCCAGCGATGCAGAGCGCTAACCCACGCATCCCTCGCACTAACAAGCAGTTTGAGGGCTCACAACCTTCTAGACTCCTTCCAGCATTTTTGAATAATCTGTGAATTCTTCGGGAACATGTTCATTCCTCCACCGAGAATCAAAGTGCCGGCGGTGACCTTGAACACTTACTCCCCGTGCCCAAATCTTTGGACGCGTCTTGCACAAACTTGGGTAGACCCTCGCGCCTACAGATAGTGTTGCTGCAATGGTGTTGAGACAGATAAATCGCGACCCGCGACCCTTCGAATTTTTTTCATCTCTCTTAAACTCAGAACTCGTCATAGATTGTACCGTGCAAGGCTCCGTGGAATATCCTCCTGAGACAGCTCTCCGGAGGTAGCCTCAACCTCCGATCGGAGATGAGATCAATTTCCCCCCGAGCGGTAGGTGAGTTCCTGAGTCGACTCCGCTAACTTCAGGAGGCATCGGCCATCGCAATGCGACCCCCCTGATCGATTTTTCAAGATGTTCCAAGCTTCGGCTCCAGGAGCATATTGCTACCAGAGTCCCCTTGATTCGCAGGGATGAGGCCTGTGCTTCGACCTTCACGAAATCCGAACTTCCCGGACCGACGGACTCGGCTCAGCGACGCATACATTTGAGAACATGGAAACGGCCATCTGATCAGAATGATTCTCGAAAGCGGCAGAGGATCTGCGGAGCCTACCTACAAAGACGTCAGAATGAAGTCGGAAAGGCGGATGGCTCGAATTGACGCTGATGCGCGGCGGCCATGGCAGGCTTCACCAGGCGGGATCTCCCGCTGGAGCTCTCAGAACGAGCCATCCGGGAAACGGAGCTCTGGGTCCGCTCCGCAGCCTCATGGGAGAATCCTTCGCGACTGAGGGAACACTGGTGACGGGGAGGATTCTCTTCCGGGACAAGAGGCTCCATCTCCGAATTCCGATCGATCATTCATCTCCCGCCAAATATTTTTCAAACGCGCGAGAAAGAGCATGAAACTTCTCTCTCTCGCTTCCGTCGAGACCTCCGAAATCCAGATTATCCAACACCAGATCGTTCACCTCTCCTTGCTTTGGTTCCATTTCTCGATGCGGAACTCGCACAATTCCCGTCCTAAGCTAACATCCCTCGAATTCGATATGGAGTTGAATCGTCGCTGTCTCCCCTCTGAGGAGTACGGCAAAACGAATGACATTTCGGAAACATGGAGTTTCCGAATCAATGATGCACGAATATGCGCTCTCCACTCGAGCAGCCGATGTCGCTTTGATTGTTCTTCTTCGATTCTCGAAGTAAACAACGATTCCGCCGAACGATAGTCCATTCGCATTCCTTTGTGTCCCGCCGTTTGATTCGCTCATCATGACTCTTTCTTCACCGCAAAAGGCCGATCAGAAGAGCCCGAAGCTCCCCTTAAGAAGACCTAACCGGGAAGCCTTGGAACTCCTAAAAGTCGGTGAAAGTTCTCATGCAATCTTGACCGGGATATCCGAGTTGGAGTAGAAGTCAATCGTTCGCGGACCGAAATCTCTCTCGATTACAGCAGAGTCCGTCGACTTTGAGGGACGCGACTCCGCCGCATCAGAACACGAGATCGAAACGGAACAAACAAGCCGCAGCTTCATCTAAATCTCCTCCCGATGAAAGTGTCCCGAGAAAAGTGCGAAAGGGAGCAGAGCCGCGCAAGGAAAATAAAAACGTCTCACCCTCGAAGAGCATCGCCCTTGAGACGCCTCCGAGTCAAGGGATCAGGAGCGTTAAGAGCCCACTTGTTGATCAGTCGTCAAGGAAAAACCGCGCTGACTTGGAGGAGACCCGCCTCATCGAGGTCGATGACGACAGTCAAACGACTCCGAAATCAGTTCCCCCGACCCCTTTGAACACGGCTTTGATCGAGACGCCCCGAGTCGACCTGACTCCTCGGGCTGTGCGACGACAACCATTCCAACAGGTACGGAATGCTATGATATATTAGGAGGGATCGAGGGGAAGAAATAAATGAATCTGGGAATGGAACAGATCAGGGCAATCTCTGATTTTCAGGGTGAGCGAGGAAGACTACCGTACGGAGGATTAATGACCGAAATATACCGCCTCGAAGCTCAAAGCCAATTCGAACACATTGCTTTGGAAAGCACGGAAGTGGTGACGGTTGTGGAATCAGAAGATTCGTCTCACGCAAGACCACCGAGATGGAGTTTACGACAGTTGTCGCCAATTCGGAATGTTGAGGAGACTCATGAGAAAGGAGAAGTCTCTAGCTCTTTCGGGGCGGAAACCACTTTCGGTGTCGAGGATGTCGGCGTTCAAGTTTCTCTCTGTCAAAGATGCAATGCCCATAGCGCTTGGTCCGAAATGAAACCGATCGTTATGGTATTCGTCTTGATGATGCTTTCGTTGCTCTACCGAGGGCTCTTGCGGGTAGATCCGAGACTCCCCCAAGGATTTGGGAATGCGCTCGGCATAGCCGTTCAGGGTACCTTTCTCGCGTCGTTCAATCTGGAAGACTACCTCACGGATATTTTCGCTGTGTGAAAATCGAAGGAACTCTGCTTGATTTGTTCATCGTTCAGCTGAGTGATACGAAGGTCAATCCGATCCGAGATAGGATGGCCGGGCTAAGCACAATGTACGATGTGAATTCCTGCCCTGGGCAGGAAGTTTGGACATGAATATTTGGACAGAACGGGAATTTGTAGTGTTGTGTAGGGAACTTCCTCCACAATTTGTAATTTTTGAAAATGTTTCAGCAATAAATGGATATTCAAGCTCATAGATCAAATACATGAAATTACTTTGAGGCTCCCGCTAGACTGCTACCCTCCCTAGATTCATTTTCTGCCGCCCTTTCAAATCGTCGGAACACTATTCTGATTGAGAATAACACCTCCTCGTCGTTGGTTGAGATATCATTGAATGCGTCCATTGATTCCGGCTTTCATTGTCTCGTCTCTCGGTCTCGATGTGGGGAAGACTATCAATGCTCGGCTGCTGGAGATGTACGAGTCCACTTGCGTTTCAGATCACATCGATCCCATCTCAGACCAATCCGAGCATCCCACGTAGCAGGAAGCTCCATGGAAACCCGGACATCAACTTCCCTTTTTCACAGCGCTTTCTTTCCAACGCTTCATTCTCGGAGTCGCAATGAGGCACCTAAGCCCCCTCCTCTTTTTGAGCGTCGGGTTGTTCACCCTCGCATTTGTTGGAGCAGAAATCGAGGTCAGTGATAATGAGAAGACATCGGATGCTAGCGATACATCGGCCGAAAGCAACGATACCAGTCCTGCGACTCACTCGGACTCGAATGACTTCGACGCCGAACCTGAGTTCGGATCGCCTAAGTTTGACCAGTAAGTAAGAATATAATCATTCGATTCTACTGGAACTCTCCACGACCTCGACGAGTTCCTCAAGAGCTCAAACTTTTTCAGACATATGCGGGAGACGATTGCCGACGAATTTGGAGAGCCAGTTCCCGCGGAATATACGGGAAAGGCTTACTACTATTACTACTTCAAGTGAGCAAACCGAAGCGACTGACCGTAGCCCAAATTGGTAGATGCGATCGCTCATCTGTTCTGTTCCGTTCCGTCTCTACCGAAGAGCCAGTGTGGAATCCCCGCGGAGGTTTCTCTCGAACCAGCTCCTGGGAGATTTCGATGTATCATTTACATTGTCTTCCTTATGTTGTGCTCAGAGCCCATGACGATGATAGAAACAGCAAGCTGGATAAGAAGGAATTGCTGAAAGCCCTCGTGCACCTAGTCTTGCCCCCCTCGAACTACAACGGCTACCCGAGAGAAGATCCAGAGATGTCGGGCGAAGGCGACGGTCCTGGAGTACCATGGGAAGTAGAGCTCATCTGTCAAGGTAAAGACTCTCGAGCATACAACTCGATTCATTCCTCTATCCGATCCCGCGCTTTGGGTCTCTCCCTGAGTTTCTGATGTCACCATCACGAAACTCAAATCCTGGCGACGTCTCGAGCTCTTGGAAGCACTTCGTTTCGATTTTCGCAGATAGCGTTGATCGAATCATACGCAAGGACGACAAGAACAAAGATGGCTTCATCGACCCTCTGGAGTATCAGAATGCCAAGAGTAGAGGTCTGAAAGCGATGAAGAAATCAATCGATAAGCAGCTGAAACAGCACGGCTCGCGAGGCCGCTTCTACTAGAGAACTTGACGCCGTGCTTGCGCGGCTCCGGACCCGATGATGCAATGATGCTCCCCTAATTGGACATCGTGAAACCCGTTCGCTTATCCGATTCAGCTGACGAGTACTAATACTGTCAGGGAAAACTTCCTCTGGAAGTAGTCGAATGAAAGAGATTCTTACTTTTCCTTATCTGCTCCAGGATTTTCGGTAGTCTTTGATATGTGTTTTGAAGCGGCTCTGCGGTTCTGCTGAATGACCCGATGGGGCAAGCAGCCCATCCCCATGAGCCCGGAACGGGATATGAGGGCCCCCCTCGAGATATCGATTCAAATGGAAGCTTCTGGAAGAAAAGATCTAGTGTCTGACAAGGACACATTCGTTCCCTCCAATCTGGAAATTCGAAACTCGATTATCCGCTGATATTCCATAATTTACCTAAATTCCATAATTTAGGCGCAAGACTTTCGAAGAGCAAACTCTTCTCCGTGAGCCCGGTTTGGAGGAAGCGCATGTTTATTAGTGAGAACGGCTATTGTTGTGCCGCAAAAAGGGCTGAATGAAAGAATAGCTAGATTAAAAGGGGAATGAAAGCGAGGCTACAGAGACAAAATGTGAGTTGCGTAGTATCAGACGTCGCTTTTGGATTGAATAAGGCAGTTCCTGCTGACTGGATTGTCATACGGCCCCTGTGGTTTTTCTGTTCTGTTCACATGGGGCCGTCTCCGGAGCTCACGATGATAGGACTCAATTAGTTGCAAACCTCACGTGTGAAGCCTGAGGAGAATATTTTTCGATGCCCGCGGAACCCGAGAAATAAAGCGGGTTGTTATCCGAGCGGATAGATTCTCGTTTTTTTTTAAGGACTCTTTGGAATGTTTTGGGATGCTTGACGTCGAGTTGACCGCGTAAAGAAGATCTCCCTGATGCTCACATGTTTCCTCATGAATTGACCGTCGCTTTCGTCATGAAAGTTGACCTGAAACCGAATGTTGATGGCTCACATTCGCATAACAATGCTCATTATCAAATGTTCCAGAAGGCACCAGGAGGATCAAGCGAAAGTAAGCTATTGTCAGGGTCGATTCCGAAAAGATCCAGATTGTCTCATTGTCAAGCGGTAGCACCAAACTGTCCCCGATCGCTCCCCTGGTCACGCAGAGGATTACTTACGGCTTGCCGAAAGACTTCGACTTTCCTGCCCGTCTTATACGTGGTCGGACCCCGCAGCCTTCAGATTGAGCTTCGTGCGGGTTTCCAAGCTACTAAGTGTCATTCTAGCTCCCTTCTCATGATGGAGTCTCTCGCCCGTGGGGCTCAGAAGATGACATTCCGAATTGCTTCTCAACGGAAAGTTGTGGATCCATCTGTTGAGGCAGGTCCAAATCCGCTCATTCATGAATCAGGAGAATGCATCACGCGGATCGCCTGATACACCCCGAAGGGATAGGAGATCTAATGGAGCTCTCAACTGAGGGTCACTTTCTGGGAAGTCGACATGTCTGGCCCGGATAATTTCTTGAGACACTCGGTTGCGTGGCTCATCAATATGGTCACCCGCTCCACCTGGAATTATCATTGACCCTTCTTTTTTGCATGAATTTCGAGGAATCTTCAGAGACTTGAGGTCTACCTTTAATCTGCTGTCGTGTGTTCGGGTGCCGAGCGGGGTTATGCTCGGTCTGCTCAATATTGGAACAACTCCGCAGACCATGGAAGATCCTCTATCATTCGCCAATCCGAATGTCTTCTAACGAACGTTTCCGAACGTTTTCCCTTGTAGCTATGCTTAATTCACTGGCTGCTGATGGATACCTACGTAGCACCGATGAGCAAGTACATCGCTTCTCGTGGAGTATTGAGACCGAGCAATTTGCAGTACCTGACATTCAGGATTATAGCTCATCAACGGGTAATTTCCAGATACCCCTCCGCTCCCGTGATCCCGGCGTCAGTCAGTATAGCGGATTTTTCTCAAGCGAGTTGAGGGGCATTCCGGTGTTAACCCGATGACTGATAACAATCTGAACTGCAGAAGTCTGTTGGGCCCCCGGAACCCGAAGCCAGGAGTGCCGTGGTGGCAATACCTGAAATCAGGACTCACGTGAGTACGGTACACAGTATACATGAACACGATGCATCTAAGACATCGTATTAGATCTTCACTTAGAACTATTCCCAGAGAGGAGTCCTCAGACGATCTATTCTTTCTCCATCGACATCCTCCGCAAGAGGATCGATCGATGTTCGAGAGGATATTGAGGCCTCAATCCTCATTTGGTAGATCCCCTCGCTCGCAGGCCGATTCTTGGAGGACGCGGAGCCGGTACATAATGCGCCCTCCGTATTCCGGGGGAAGGAAAGTCAGACAAAATCTCGGATCCTATGCCCGCTTAGCGCCCCGCTGGCATACGTTCCGTTGTCCCTTCCGGATGGCGAAACCCCTCCTGGAAAGAAAAAGAGCCGAGCGTGTCTCCGGTGGCCAGAACTCTCCTCTCTGAAACCTAAATATACTCAGCAAGTCAGCAAAGACTATGGCCGCCTCCAGACCGCAGCTCTGCGTCTTGTTCTAACCCTCTCTTCGAGCATTGGCCCGACCGGGCAACTGGCTAACGCGGCCAACATGTGTCAAAATTAGGCTTCCCTCGATTGTGTAAATTCTAGCTTTAGGTGATTTTGAGGTTTGAGTGAGCGATAAGTGATAATGTCGAATCGCTACGGCAGCTACTACGTGAGTATTGCTCTATGAAGCTTTAGGCAATATTACGGTAGAACTATCCGTCTCGGTGGTTGTGAGCTCTGGACTTCAACTTCGAGTACGGCTTTGTTATTCCCAAGGCTTGAGGAATCATGAATTTCATCGAATCTCATCCGGAAAGCGCGTGACGAAGGATTCTCAAGTTTTCGAGGAACCTAAAGAAAAAATCGTAGAGCCCAGAGCCGTGTTTGGTTTAAATGGGCCGAGCATTCATTGTCTCTCTGCTCTCGAAAGGCTTGCGGAGTAAGCAAACCACTCAGTCGGTATAAAATACGTTTACCCGACCCACTCGGCGGCTTCGATCTTCCCGGATCGGGTCCGGCTCTCGGCGTCTTAAGCTCCTAATCTGTTGAGCAACGTTCAAAATTCATTATCTATTGCGGCTTCTATCAGGTATAAGTCTTCCTTATGGTCGCGGTGCGGCATCCAAATGACAGATGAGGATATTCAGCTCTCGAATCACGCGAGAGAGCAGAGTTTTCACGGAAGATCGATCGGTCGATACAAATCATTGTTATGATGATACTCATTCAGCGCGAAGAAGGCGAGTTATTCAATCTCGTCGACAGAGGTTCTCGAAAATGCTGTGATCGTCCAGTAGAGCCGTAGGTACACCCGCTCGTTCCCCTCTTCGTCAGAGATGATTACTCACAAGTTCCGCGGTGATTCACTCGGGTTTTGGAATCCATTTGAGTGGGAGGTTCCCGAGCTCATCGACAGGTGCCGTCATGCAGATTCTGAAGCCTAATCCTTGAGACGGAACTGACGCTCATTTAGAAGTTTCTGGAGCGTCTTGAGCTCAACAACAGAGGAAACGGGAGAAAAACAGTCTTCGAAGAAACTTTCGTTCTCCGAGACTCTTCCATTTCCGAAGATTTTCGTCCCGATAATCTTACCACGACCGATCTGAGGGGGAAGTGTGTAGCCGAGCTGGTCCAACTCCTTTCTATTCCGGCTCCTTGATGACCTCAGATTCGCCAGTTCCGCGGAAACCACGACGGTTTCAAGCATATGTATGCTCTATGAACGTCGATGCTTGACGAGACCTAATTAAGATCGAACTTTATCCTCCTCCGTTGCAGCCATCGTATCGTCGGACGGCGTCGCCTTCATTCTCCTCACAATTCAACAATCTCAGCTTCGGAAGCAGCTACAGACCCAGTGCCGCTTTATCCTCAGCGAGTTCATCCATAGCGAACAAATACCAAAGTACCTTGAACGATTCGAGGACTGGGAGCTCAGCGGCAGCTCACTCATACCGGACACCATCGAGCTCTGGTTACACGTCCGACCATGCCAAGTCCGGTCACCTGTCAGATAATGCTCGTCAGAGCACAGACCAACGCTCCAGCCATCTACCGCCGCCTGGCAGGAGTGGTTACACATCGGACGCATCCAAATCCGACGTGAGGAACTCCTACATCGACTACAACGATAGGAGCCAGAGGAGCTCTTACGAGAGACCGTCCACCCAGAGCCGGTCGCTCTACGATTCGTATCGAGGCAACGGGGGCAGCGCGTATCCGTCGCCGTACAGCTCGAAGTTGAATCTCTACTCGCAACAGGAGCCGAATTCGTCGTTTCGAGATAAATCCCCATCCAGGAGCTTCCAGAGACAGGACTCCTCGTCCTCACAAGATAAGCTCTCGGTGTCCAGACCGGTGCTCCAGCGACAAGACAGCGGATCCCGAGACTACCAGAGCATAGCGCTCGGGAACCGAACCAGCTCTGAGAGCAGACAAGATGCAAGCTCAGAGAGACCGGCGTCGCGACCGGTGTTTCAACGGCAAGACAGCGGTGGTTCGCGGGATTATCAAAGCATGAATTTCGGCTCCCGCGGGAATCTCGAACGGCAAGACTCGTACGGGGAACGCCCAGCGTCACGTTACGACGCTTCGAGGAGTTATCAAGCGATGAAGTTCGGAAGTCAAAATACTCTGAACCGCGCAGACTACGGGGAGAGATCCGGACCTCCGGGTCGGGTCCCGTTCCAGCGGCAAGATTCCTCGCCGAGCGACTTCGGATACAGGAACGAACGAAACCCCACGGGGTATGGTTTGCCGATGAGGGGCGGGTCACTCAAACTTCCGGAACGTTCGGACGTGGCCCATCATGGCAAAGAATACAAAAACGTACTCTCTCCTCTCGATGTACCGCGCGATAAAACAAGCGGATACAGTTCCGCCGGATACCAATCCGATGTGATTCGGTCGGGCGCAGCCACTCCCACCCGTTCCCCGTCGCCTTTCTCCCGGCAGAACTCGTACGAGAACTCGAGAATAGCGAGCGAACTTAGTTCCGTGGCGAAAGCAATCCAGCAGTACAGCCTGAAGCCGAAACCGACCCTCCCCTCGTCCTGGAGACAACCATCGGTCTCCTATCAGCCCTTCGAGACGCCGACGCGTCGAGTTTACTACGTTCCCCCGAATAGGTCGCCGTATAGCAGTCTGTCTCGGACATCCTCGTATAGAGCGCCCGAAACGAAGCCAAACTTAGCTCCCGCCGATTTCTGCAACTCTGACTCGGAAGACTCCGACAGCGATTCCGGCAAGACCGTCGAGTATCTGATCAGCCGGTCGACTTCTCCCTCGACGACCTACCGTCCGGAAGACGATGAAAACCGCATTTCTTCGATGAGCAAATTAGAAAGACCGGCAAAGAAACGTCTGCCGGTGGGGAAAATCTGCGCGTCGGTTCAAGTTGACTCGCAGGACATAAAGAAAGCGTTCGCTCCCAAACTCGCGATACCGTCCCCGGAGAAAGCCACCCATCAGTCGAAAACGTCGCCGACCGATGCCGTGCCCGCGTACGCCTACTATGGGAAGTTTTCCACGGCGACGGCACCGTCAGCTGCCAGCATAACTGCGAACAATAAGCTGGCTCGACCGTCCGTCAACCAATCGTCGGACACGTCACCGACTTCGCCTGAGAAATTGGTCTCACCGCAATGGCCTTCGGAGAAATCTCCGTCGCCGAACGAAGAACGCCGGAGATCGAGAGAAATTCGGAGGCGGAAAAGCAGGGAGGACATGTCGGATCACCGTAGAAGCCGGGACGACGTCAACGAGTCCCGTAAAAGTCGAGAGGACCTGAGCGAGAAACGGACGAGCTGGGAAGAATCCAGGGACAACCGCAAAAGCCGAGACGATGTCGTAGGGCACAACAAGTCTCCCGACGAGAGCCGGGAGTCTCCTCGGAAGCACGATCCCCAAGAGACCGGTCGTAAACGACGGGAAGACGAGCCTGTCGTCAACGACACTATAGAACAGGAAAAACTGAGATTAGCGAACATGAATAAGGATTTCCGGAAATCGGTTCTGAACATGAATCTCTCGGAAAAAGAAAGGGAAGAATATCTGAAGCTCCAGAAAGCCAAGAGGAAGGCCTTGCGGCGCGCAGGCAAACCGATGGAGAAGGAATCAGACACCGAGATACTGCAGTCGTCGTCTGACGATTCCGAATGTGAGGCATCATCACGCCGCGAAGTATCCAGAAGTCATTCGCAGCGGAGTGTACACAGACACGAAGTGAAGCGAGCCCCGTCCACTTCTCGGGTACGTGGCGATTCCGGTTCGTCGTCCTCCTCGGACGAGGACGACGTCTCGCAAAAACGGCGCTCGTTCCGTCGGAAGCGACCGTCTCGGGGGAATACCCTCGAAGACCGCGCGCCCTCTCCGCCGGAGCATCGAAGCGTCGGGAAGCTTCAAGATTTCGAGCAATCCTTGGTGGACGCACCCCTGGCCCGGGCTGAGGACGACACGGAATGCGAGGAAGAACTCCAGAAAGACGGTGATGCCGACGAGACCAAAGAGAAGAAATCGCCGTCGCCCTCTAAACCGAATCACGTCGACTTGCATCCCGAGATAGGGAGCGCCTCGTCGAGCGTTTCCGGAGACGATGCCGGCGACGGTATCGAGAAAAGTGCCACGGTAGTTTTCCGAGGGGTTGAAGTGAGCCCCGTTGAAGATCCCTCTGTCGGGGACGGCCCAAATCGCACCAATACCGAAACGCTTACTAACGGTGTGCAGAGACCCGCTTTCATTAAAATCTTATCGCCGGAAAAATCTCCAGAGGTTGTCTACTCACTCCGGAAACCGTTCGATGATAAGAAATCCACCTGCCATGAATTAACGGTGCCGACGCAAGAAATACAGAAATCGAACTCCGCAGAAACCCTCACTTCACAATCGAAACCGATCCTCATTCAGAGATCCAACTCGAGCCAGGCCCACTTTCCGGTCATGTCTGGAACGGTGACCATAGCTCCAGAACCACCGGGCCTCGCAAGGTCGTCGGAGATCATAGCCGACGGGAAACAAGCCGACGTAACACAGCAGGGAGACGGGGACTCGATATTCAAACACCGGACTAAGACAATTTACGATCGATCGCAAATTCGTAATTCGACGGGACCGACATTCACGCCTGAAAGCTCCGATGCATGTGCAAACACAGATGACCGACCCACAATACAGTTATGGCAAGAGACCGAACCGAAAGCTTTTGCGCTAAACCGTATCACTCATCCATATCGACCGATATACAAGCGACCGGGCGCGACCGACACCGAGTCCGACGCTCAACAGGTTTATGAAAACGTCAGCTTCCGGAGTCCATCACCGATGATGCCTCCGCAGATTTCCCGTCTCCAGCAGCAAGAGGGCGACATGAGTTCCAGCGATTATGAAATCGTGGGAATTCCAGCTCGGAGAAAAGAACTCGTCAAGAGGAGGTCCCGAGAGAGCGACTCGAAGTCGAAAGAGGCTTCTCCTCAAACGAATCGCAGTCGACCCGGAAGCGTGATCGAAGCCTCCTCGACGGACACACGTCAGCAGATGTCGAAGCAGTCAATGTCACGGGAAGAGCTCGATCTCTTCGAGTATCTCCAGAGTCAACAGGAACAGATCCAGCGGAAGGCCGAAGAACACAGGGCGCTTGCACAGAGCCGACGGAGACCGGTTTCGGTGGAAGTTGTTCCCTCCGACAGGAAGAGCGAATTTCAGGAGAATATCAAAGTCGATACAGACAGCAACGAGCAGGCAAAACGCTCGCAGGAACTCCAAAGATCCAGCTCGTTCAAGAACGAAAGGATATCACCCTCCACCGACACAAGACCATCCTGGGCCATCCATCAACAAGTCCACGAAACAGCACCATCGGCGCCTTGGCAAAAACCGCATACCAGTGAGACACACGCACCGGTAGCTAACACCACACAACACAACGATGTCAAGCTGAGCGATGGAGCGACTTGCTTGCAGTCGATAGCAGCTGATTTGGCTAATCTGCCGCAGAGTGCACCACCGCTGCCCAAAATCATCGTATCGTCGAAGCGAGCGTCGACGGCGTCCCCTGTACGGAAAGGAAAAACTCAGTTCATCGGCACCTTCAAGGATATCGACTCCTTCTTGGAGTTCTGCGACAGTGACTCGTTCGATGCCATGGAGTCGAGGTTCGAGAACGAGAAGCGCCATGAATCCGAACCTTTGTCACCGTCCAAGAGACACCCTCCGAAGGCGCACATGAACCCGCCGGGGAACTTCATCGGGACTTTCATAGATATCGATGAGATCCTAGGAGCGGAGAGTCCCTCCGCTTGTCCCTTCGAGAAAGCATCCGATCCGTTCGCGCTGTTCAGAATCGACGCGTCTCAAGTGAAAGTCCACGCTCCGAAGACTTCTATGCGGGCCGAATTAAGTTCCGGTGTCGAAGAATTCGACAGCACTTCCATACGAGTCCGGGAAGTCCGCAAAGGCCAAGCCGTCGTGAACAAGGTGAGTGGTCAGAATAGACTCAACGACGGCAGACAAAGATTGGGATGAATGTCAGAGCGCACATGTCCGGTGAGCACTCCGACGGTTAATGAGTGGCTACTAAGCTCCGGGGACGGGATATATTTAGCCTCGGACACCAGGGTGAAGGACCTTCGGGGAACAAGTTGCTGAGTTTCCGAAAAGTTGCTCAGACGCGTGAGTCGTCCGATTCTCGCGCTTCACGTGGAACACGTTCGAAATGGAGTCTATTTCTCTTATCTTATCCGCAATCAGTGAGGTGCCGGAAAGACATCGGGAAAAGGATATCGGATTCGGGGAGCGAGGCTCATGGTCGAAGGGCGAACGCTTGTCCTCGAAAATTAGCGACAAAGTGTTGATGGTTGTTCCAAGAACGAGTGTGTCAGTGATTGTACACGTGCAGGGCAGCCGTGAGTGAATGAGTCAAAGCATCGGCCGACACGACAGCGATTCGGGTTGCCCACATCTCGGGCAAGCAACACTATGATTCAAGCGGGCCGGGTCTCACCCCGAAGCTCGCGCTCTCTAGTCGTCGTCGACTCTTCTCGCATCTTCTCTCTGGACACTCTAACGCAGTCTGCGAACGGGTGCTGCTCAACCCTATATGTCCTACTCTATTTACTTTTCTCCGTGAATGCTTCTTACAGGGGGCAGAACGAACATCTGCTTTCGGCCCCCAACGCTATTCTCTATCCTGTGCGATCCCCTGTGTAGCGTTGTTTTTCCTTCGGTGCTCCGTGAAAAGTTCAGACCCTGGCGATGTTCTCCTGCAGAGTGCAATTCATCGACGACATCGATCCGTTCGGGTCGACGAGCTGTGCTCCCCAGCCTGCGCTCTCGGTGGCGCCTACGTTCACTTTCAATGCCTCTATTCCTCTGAATAGGCAACTTTCGGCGCTTCATAGATTCCTCAGGGCTCCACATAAGGTACAAGCTGTGCCCTAGTGTTCCAAGCGTTCGAAAATTCCGGGCTTCTCCCCCAAAGACTACGAACCGAGTGGATAGTGGCCGATCGTCCCCGTCCTGCACCCGGAACCTCCCATCTGTATCAGTTCTGGAGGTATTTCAAAGACGTGACCGTTACAGGTGGATGACTCGTCTCTGCAAGTGTATCGTCCTTCAGAAGAAGGTGGAGTTTATCTGGACTTGGAATCATCTATCGAACAGCAACCAGATGAGTTCTCGGCTTTCGAAAAGTATGTATGATGCTATAATCGTATGCTATTCCTCATGGGAAATCGGGAAACGGGAGAATTCGGGCGCCCGACTGCAAGAGAATATGAAATTAACAGTTCTTCATCCGCCTGTCTCAGAGAGGAGGCGTCAGTCGTTCTCCGAAGTCAGCTGTCGGTCCGAGTCCATGCGATTATAGGTGAGTTTTCGAAGCGAGCATTGCAATAATTCCAGAGCGCAAAAATAGTCAGACAGCCGCTTCTCAGCCGGTGACACTCGAATACGTATGAGTCGGAAATTTCCTCGACGATCGCGATGACCCAACGCGTCAACACCTTCTCTGACACAATGACATACATACTAAATTTCTTGAAAACAAAGGGTGGGCGCTTCGAGGACACGGTCGAATCGACTTTTTTCGCCTTCAGAAAAAAGCGTAGCTCGAGATACCCGGAGTGAGGAGTCTCAGAACGCATGTGCCGAACACTATACGTCTGAAGGTCGCGAATCGAAATAGCTCGATTTTATGAGCCTGACTGGCTTCTTTCACGGCGAGACTGACGTCAATGACGACTCTTCCCGGTGATCCCCGTTGTTTGGGAACTCGTCGCGGTCCGAAGACGCCTACTCGAGCAATGTCCGTCCCGCGTTTAATGAGTCGATTCCCTCTCGATTCTAGACAAATTAGTAAATTCAGCCGGAACCGAATTACGCCGGGCCCTGTTCGCTCTGAAACAAGTGTTCCAGGATGACAAGGATCTGGTGCAAGCCTTCGTTGAGAACCGTGGCCTCGATGTTCTGATCAAGATCGGACAGAATTGCGATCACAACTACCAGAACTACATACTCAGAGGTGATGACTCTTGACGATTCCAACAGGCTAAATGATGAGGATATCCAGATATCCGGGGCTCTTGTATTCGCCGCACGTACAAATTCTACCGCATGCACTCTACCATGAACCCCACCGATTGCGCGAAGGATCTCGTCTTCTCATTATTCCCATCTCTTCCATGCAGCCCTTGGTCAAGTGATGCTCTATATAGATGGAATGCACGGCGTGATCCGACACAATCTCACGATCCAATGGCTGTACCAGTTGACTCAGTCCAACGTAAGTGAATGCTCATCTAAGGAAATGATAGCCTACCATGCGACTTTCTCGCGTGAAGGAGCCGTATCGAAGGGCTACTCGCGCTTAGCGCCGGCCAGCTGTTGCCCCATCGATGCCACATTGCGTTGCTCGCTTCTTTAGTTCCGTAAACCCACCGAAAAATAATCTGAATTTTGAAGATTCAGAGACTATGGCCTTGGCGAAAGTCGGGGCGCCGGTCCGATCTCTTTTGTCGTAAGGTCTCGGTTCAATGCGAATGCAAACATTGCTCGAAACGTTAATCGCGTCGCATTCGCGTTCTTTTCTAGTACCGTCTGGTCGTCAAGGCCGCGCTGAAGCTTCTGTTGGTTTTCCTCGAATACTCGGATTCGAATTGCTATGAACTCCTCCGAGCCATGTTCCGACTTCAGCAAACCCACGGGATGAGACCGTGGTCGAGCGTGATGAAGATTCTATCACAGAGAGACAACGCCGACATGGAGCTCCTGATCTACTCGATATCGCTGATCAACAAGGTGAGGCTCGGGACATCATTATTCTTCGGATCCTTCCCCGCACCTGCCCGAATTCCTGGAGAAGTCTTATCGCCGGGTGGAAGGCACCGCTGTTCTGCCAGAAGTCCGATCTAGTCATGAAGTTATCCGGGCTGCCCGAACTCAGTCAGGCGCGCGAGTGGGGTAAGAAAAATAAGTGGTGCCGTAACATCATTCGTCGACGGCGACGGACTTCGACCAACAACAGAAAGTCAGCTCCTTAAGAAATTGTGCTCGGAAGTCGTTCCATCGAATGCTTCAGCTACGGTGAATAGGCGAGCAGCCTTCAAGACTCTCGCCGTCACCGCCGCCGCTACCGCTGTTCTTACTGCGGCCTCACTCGCAGTTTGTTCACTGGCGCAAAAATGACGAATTTCCGAAGCAAGTGAGAAATTGACTGGCGAACTGGCTCCCCTATAATCGAATATAGGGAAAAACAGTATGCTAGACGAGTACTCGGCGTGGAGAGTGACTTGGGCAGATTCCTGCTCAGATGTTGATCCTGTGACCCGCTTCCTGCTCCACCACGGATATCGATCTATGCCATCTAATGGCTCCAATGAGGTGTCCATGAGTCATAATTTATTGTTCATCGTGTTATAAGTGCCTGGGTCTTCTCGGTTTGTGTGTAACCTCGCACGCAACGATCAGTGTTGGCGAGGATGTTATGTTTGTGATCTCGATCCGTAGAGCAGAGTTTTTCTAAAGAGAACTCTCGTTGCCAGACCCTGGAGGGCGTTCCCGATCAGGACAGCTATTACGACATTGTTGACTCGCTCGAAGATATGGGGATGGAACGCATCGTCCAGTTCTATATGTCCAAACAAGGCGTCGAAAACGACCTTCTGCAACAACTGCAGATCTACGAGAACGTTCTCCGTCTCGAAGACGGTGACGCACCACCTAATATCAAAGTTCCGGCCTGCGTCAGGTGAGTCCCGGGGTGAACGAGGTTTTTGAACGAACGGGTGAGATCCTCCAGAGCCGAATAGCAGAGGGGAAATCTTCCTCCGATCGGTGACGGGACCTGATTCCACGTCCTCGACCTCGGTCTCGGAGGTTCCCTCCTCTATTCGAGATAAGAGCTCTAATCAACCGAGTTCCTACCGTAGGAATCGGAAACAGAATCCGTCGAGGAAAAGTCGACGTCACAGTCATAATGATGGGCCACCGGCAAAAATCAAGCCGTCACCGCTGCTTCAAAACCTCATCCGCTCCGCGGAGGATCCGACGTCTTTCGATGACAATGACCTGACACCCGCGATGAGACGCTGGAAAGACGATCACATGAGTCGAGATTATTTGGAAGATGAAGAGAACTCTCCGATGGATATGTGTCAGGGCCAGGCTTCCCAGCATTCAGCCAATGTGCGGCAATTCAAAAATATTTTCGAGCAAACCATTCAGGAGCAGGAAGCCGAACCGCCCAAGCGACAAGAGGTTCCCCGGAGACAGCTCATCGATCTATCTCCCTTGCACCAGGCTCAGGACAACATCCCGAAAATTCCTGAGCGAGCGCGAGGTATCAACACACCTCTGAATCAACATTTCAATCAACAGCCTCAGCAGCAGCTCCACTCGCAGGTATTGTGTGGCTTTTCAAACGGACTTTTTCGCATTTTCTCCCTCGGAAACATCCAATCCGAGTCGCTCTCAGCATCGGAGTCTTCGAGTAGTAGTAGCGTGCTCGGTCGCTGTTGGGGAAGGGGAACGAAAGAACATAACTTCTCTTGGCAGGTGTCTCATGCAGAAAAAAGCCCTAGTTTTCCCCCTATGCGGCCGCCCACTTCCTTGGATGCTCCCGTTATTCCTTCGCGACAACCCCAGCCGGAAGCTCCGCCGTATGGACATCGAGGCCCGGCTTCGATGAAGTCGAATCAATTCTCGAGCAATCTTCAAAAGTTCGATGGGAGCGAGAACATACTTCAAGATATGATCTGGAAATCAGGCAGCCCCGTTCAGTGGCAGGACTTTGTGAAGACTCTGAGGAGACCTTTGTTCATAAATGATTTTGACTTCACCGATTTGAGTGAGGACGACGACGTGGGAGTTCTGGCTGAGAGTATGCCCTCGATGAATGGCTCGTTCGGTTGCGGTCCGCCGCCCCCGCCGCCAATGCCCACCGGCTCGGCCGGTCCCCCGCCCCCGCCTCCTCCTCCCGGGGCCTTCGGTATCAGAGTTCCACCCCCTCCTCCACCTCCGTTCGGAGCTCCCACGCCGCCTCCGCCCCCGTTCGGGTCTCCGCGAGGCGGAACTCCGACATTCCTTCAACAAAAACAACATCTCCCGAATCAACCGCCTTGGGCAGCTAACAAGTAAGCGGACAAGAGAGACTGCGACAGGAAATCTTTAAACTGAATTTCGCGGTGAAATTCATTCCTATCAGAACAAGTCGGTGGTTCTCTGCCACTCGCCGATCGCTCTTGAAACTACTTACTCCGTGTTGTGGGTGAGTAAGCGAGAATGTCGCTTCACGTCGTTACTTTCGTTCCGCAGGAGCGAAGGCAGCCAAGCGGCGACCATTCAGAAGAACAAAAAGACTGTCAAGTTATTTTGGAAGGAAATCAAGGAGGACCCCAATCTGCTGGCGAGGATCAAGAAACAAAACACGATCTGGGATGAGCTCAGTCGGGTCGAGGTCGACACGCTCAAGCTGGAGGAGCTTTTCGAGAATAAGGCCAAAGACCTCATGAAACAGGTATGAAAGCCAGAGTCCCTGGTAGGTTGACGCGGGGCCGAATCGCGCCGCACTTCCAGAGAGGTCGACCTATCGAGTCGAAGGGTAAAGGGCTCTCTCTTCCAGAAACAAGAGGGTAAACGGAACGAGATAACAGTATTAGATGCCAAACGATCGAATGCCATCAACATCGGCATGACCAAGCTACCGAACCCGAGAACGATACGCACTGCTATATTGAAGATGGACTCAACAATCATGAACCGTGAGGGCATCGAAAAGATACTCACAACGATGATGCCGACGCCCGAGGAAATGAACAAGATCGTCGAAGCTCAGATGTCGAGTCCGGAGGTTCCACTGGGAAACGCGGAGCAATTCCTGCTGACTCTGTCTTCGATTTCGGAACTCGAGCCGCGACTGAGGTAAGACTCCAATCTCGATTCTGATATTCAGCCAGCCGGTTTCTGAGCTCCAAGGTCATGATATTAAGGCAGCGGGGGTGAGTGAGCTTCGGTCCCCGGTTCAGATTGTCGACGTCGGTCGCCGAGTAGCGGGAGACATTCCATCTACGAAATCTCCGGTGCGATGGAATACGGGAATAGGCATCATGTATACTCGTCTGCTCATTCGAGCCTGGTCCGACCACGAGAGACAGGAGACGGAATACTCTGACGGTAGACGACAACCGCAGAATTCTCTAGGACGCAACGAAATTCAATTTTTTCTTCGCTTTCCGTTACAGGCTGTGGGCATTCGTGTTAGACTACAACGCTCTCGAGAAGGAAGTGGCGGAGCCCCTCATGGATCTCAAGCAAGCTATTGTCCAGATCGAATCGAACAAAACCTTCCGCCACGTGTTGTCCACCGTGCTTGCCATTGGTAATTTCCTGAATGGCGCGCCAGTCAAAGGTTTCCAGCTCGACTATCTCGCCAAGGTACCCAGGTCCAAATGTTATGCGGAAAAACCCCCGGATCTCGATCCCGGCCCCAATCCTCTCTCGCGAGTATCAGCTGTTCCGATCACGCAGACGACCTGATCTCACGGACTAACCCCATTCCTCCACCTGCAGGTTCCCGAAGTCAAGGACACTGTATACAAGCACAGTCTGCTCTTCCATGTGGTGGAATTCATAATGTCTCGACATCCAAACTCTAGTGATCTCTACTCTGAAATGGCGGAAGTGACGCGGGCGTCGAAGGTTGGTGTCTTCGACCTCCACCGATCTGCCAGAATCGTTCAGGCTCTTCCGAGAAAATGACTCATAGCAGCTGAAGCGATCCTCGCACCACTGAGTCCCTTCAGACTCTTACGGATAGTTGTCCCACAGGTGGATTTTGAGGAGACCTCGAAAACTTTGAATAAAATGGAGTCTGACTGCAAGGCATCTTGGGAGCATCTGAAGGTCGTCGCCAAACACGACGGTCAACAGAGCTACTCGTCGATTGCGACATTTCTATCCGACTGCGCCGAAAGGATCACCGTGCTCGGAGTTATACAGAAGCGAGTGATGAATAGGTGAGCGATATAAATGATTCGGATGACAATGATCCCGACTGCTCGAAGACTCTGGGGAAGATGGACAGACATGACTGCCCGGCGATTCGGATGCGTCGCCTCCGTCACGGAATCCGATCTAATTTGCTAAGCGAGTATCTTATCGAATATATTATTCTGATGGAAAAAATCAGGGAAGACCAGCCCCGGAAAGGCAGTCGCAAAAAGATTAGCGGATAGATGTCTTCGGATCCGAATCCGGTCGAGGCGAAATTTTATCGGCGCCTCGCGTCTGGAGATTCCCAGGCGGACCCCGCTGAACAAGTGGTGTTGGTGCGGCTGTCGCCTCCTGTCCACTGTCGTATCTTCAGAAGCATTTCCATCCACTGGATCAAAGATCATATGTCGATGTCGACTAATCTCGAATGCTTCCTCTCCAATCGCTCAATGACAGATTCCACAAATTGATGGTGTACTTCGGACATCCATTGCACACGGTCAAGGATGCCAAGGCTCACAACATCTGTAAAATCATTTCTGAGTTCGCTCTAGAATACCGCACAACTCGAGAGAAAATTCGAGAGCAAGCCGAGAAGAAACGCCGCGAAGCCGATCGGAACGCCGCCACCGCACGCCGAGTTTCCGAATCCGTAAGTGTGAGAATGAATTTATCAAAAGCTCCCACTCGCGTCCCCCGACGTATTCGGCGAGTCCTCTCTGCGTGAACACGGAAAATCCTCACCGGAATGTCGGTAGGAGAGCTTGTAATACCAACATTTTCCTCCTATGACTTTCGCGAGGAGCACGCTCATCGCTCGCAGCCGGGGTCCGAGTTTTCGCGTCGGGGGGGGGGTTCAGACCTCGGTGGAACGCTTGGGAAAATCTGCCGGGCAAGCGATGACGCTTAGAAATGGCCTGATGATAAATGTGCGAGCTCCTTGAAATTCTGTGTGCTCAAGCGGTTTTTTGACGAGTTTCTCCTTTCCACGCAGCGTCGTACGACTCCTGACCGGCCGAGCACTTTGCCTCGTAGGGAGGGCTCGGCCAAGTCCGAACGGGAGCTTCATCGAATTCTGTCCAATGGATACTCGTCCGATGCGTCTGATGGCGATTATCGGAACTGGGGCTCACTGGGTAGGCGCAGTCGTGCCGGGTCTCTCAACCAGATGTCGAGACACAACTCAATCAAAGAGGGTAAGCAATCGTGGCGGGTTGGTTTCGTTCTCTATGTCGGTCTCCATTCTCGCTTCGACGCTCGATCTTGGACAGATTCAAAGTCGTACGATTCAGTCTCCGCGGAGATAAATACCATTGGTGAACTACTCGGAGAACGCATAGTACCAAAATCGGTCGCGAATGAAGAGGAAGGACTAATCATAGGGAGCAACAGAGCTCGTGTAAGAGGGCCGAACTGTTGGTATCCAATGACGGGCGGCGACGGGCGGCTGGTGATGGAGTGCCCCCGCACAGCAGGCTATGGCCCGATTCCTGCGTCCAATTGATCTCTGCGGCGGGTTGCGGTCCAAAGTCTAATGAGATGTTCATCAAGTTCCTCATTTCCTTCCTGTCTCATGCCGTCCGTTGCGTGCGCTTCTTTTCTCTTCCGGAACGAGACATTTTATTAATTTCCCTCCTCTTCCACGCTCATATCGGCGTCCGATTGTTTCGTCGTCTTTGGGATCGAGCTCCATTCCTTTGTTGCTTCGACGCCCTGTCACGCTGTCCAATTCTTATTCTCTCCGGTATTCCTCCCCCTCACGCGCTCACTTTCCCTTATTCCCGTTGTGGAAACCCTTTTTCTCTGCCCATCTCAAACTCACGCTTGAAACCCTTCTCATGGGTCCTAATTCCTTCGACGCGCTCAATCTCTTTCCGAGTCCCTCCCAAAACTCCTCCGACTCTTTCTTCTTCTCGACCGTGTTTTTCCTCAATGCCCCTCGTTTCCCTAGCCCATCTGGTCCTCCCTCCTCTCGTTCCGATTTTCCCTCCCCATTACGCTCGGTCGACAGCTCCTGCAGCGTAGCTGCCACTCAGTGGGAAAGCTAACTAGGAAGCCGGATAGTTCAGGAGTGAACGAGACGGCGAGGAAAGAGAGGAAAAGAGAAGCGACCACGCCAGACGCATGGAACCGTTTCGGAGCCAGATTATAAATTAGCGATTTTCTTCTCTTGCCCGCGCGGCTGCTTTCCGGCCCCCATCGACGTCCGGATGAACAGACGTTGAGAGAGTTTGCAAACCTGCCAGCCTTAGCTCTCCGCTGCTCCTGCACCGGTGCTGACTAAGAGTCAGCTCGTGAAAATAAAGTGTTCGGTTCCTAGAGATTCATTCCGGGTCCGATGAACGATCTGCAAATCATTGCTATTGACGTGTCCGGCAATTTTCATCATATTTTGCGCCAGCGAATAAACTCATCATTAGATTCTACCGATCAGAGATTCTCATTAACTCTCAGCATCGATGCTCGCTTCGCGGATCGCTCATCAACGGATCAGACCGCCGACCATCCTTCGATCCAATCCGTCGGTCATTCACAAGGCTCACTAGTCCGATGGTTGCTTACAGGGGAGTACATGTCGGGTACAGACGGCGACGAGCTCATCGAAAGTCTTGTGCGAACCGCGACAGCGCCCTCACAAAGAAGCTTGGAAAGGCAGAGGAGGATGGCGACCGGAGGAGAAAGACGATCCCGTAAGTTGCCTCCTGCTTGACTATCGTTCGCTCTCCTTGGATCCCGGCCGATCTCGTTCTGGTGTATCTCGTCCTCGTCTCTCTCTCTCCCTCAATGTGTCTTTTGTTCCCCGCACTGCTTTTTCTGTACCCTCACTCTCGTCTGGCCTGTATTGCGTCCCACTCCTACGCACTTGTATGACCCGGCTCGTTCACATTCCCGGAATGATGTCTCACAGCCTTTCCTGAGTAGCGTCGAGTTCTCGGAATGACAGTGATTGGAAACGAGCGCAGAAGGGCCGAGAATTCGACTTCAGAGAAATAGGATCTGTGACGTTATGCGGATTCAGCAGAGACGCGGAGAAGCCACTCAAGAACATTTCGAAGAGGTTCGGGTCCTCGAAGAAGTCCTCTCGTCTAATGAGACGTGTAACGGTTACAGGACGGTCGAGCATGCGTGAATGTTCTCCGCGACCATCGCTCTGGCTTATTGATCCTATGAGAATGAATCTTTCCACAGACTGACTCGACCTTCCATTTCAGTCCGTCGGGCTCTGCAGAACGAACTAAGCCGCGACGAGAGGAATCGTTACTCCTACATGTCCTCGTAGGATAGTTGAGCTTCGACTCGGAAGCACAGCTACCTATGCACCCGTCGCTCTATGGTCAGCGAGTCACGATCGGAAATTCTAGTCAAACGAAATAGGGAAGGAAGAAGTTAGCCTCGCTGTCGACCCCACCCCTTGTAAATATATAGGAAACTGTTTGCGAGCTCTTTCCTTAGGTGCTCCGTCCCCGAAGTTCAATCAATCGCAATGTCCATCATTTCGGGAACCATCTTGCTCCTTCCTGGAATGTTTCCGACGCTGAGAGGAGAGTGGTGGGAAGGGAAGGGGGGCTTGGCCGCCGCGGGCCAGAGGTCTTGTTATGGGTTGTGGAGTCGACGATGATGGAGATCGCATTTCTGTTGAATAAATCTGGTTTTCGCGCCTCAATTATTCGTGGTTGATTGGTTCTTCGATTGCGAGCATTCGAGATTAATGTTCTAGAAATCAGGGATCATGTCTGAATGTCTAGATTCTGTTCTATGAGATTCGATAGCAGGCCGGATCGAACGCTCATACCGAGCTCAGCTGACAGTGAAGTTATCTCGCATTTGAATTACCTCTCCTGCTTGTATCGCCGAAGCCTCTGCGACCGGTCTCACCCCGATGTGGCGTTGAACTTTGCGGGCATCCCGGTCATTAGGAGTGTTCTGCCCCAGTTGGGTCCGAAACGAAAAAGCACGAGGAGAGAGATTTGTTGAAGACCCCAGGTAGATTCTGCGCCGAGCAACTTCAGGCCAAGCTAGCATGTATGGGTGGGGCCGACCCCGGACACGCTCTGCGCGAAGCCTCGAAGCTCATACGCGAGCTCTGTAGCGTATTCTGTGTCATTCCACCAACAGTGGCGTTCGGAGTAGGCCCTCCGCATCCGAAATAGTTCATTTCCACCTTGTTCCTAAAGGTACTACGACGAGAGCCGGTTGATAGTTCAGCGGCACCCGCACCGAACGGGGATCCAACTATATTGGGGTGCCTGTAGACGCAGGAGGACTTGGATCCGAGTCCCACGATTCCATTGTCGTGCGTGCTGAAAGCTGAGCTAGCGTATATTTTTCTCGAGAGTTGTCCACAGGGTTTTTAGGCGCCCTCGTTGAGGAAGGATGACGTTATCTCTTCGTGCGCCTCCGCAGAATCCCCGTCGTTTTCAGCACTGATGTGGTATGATTCCTATTACGTCGCAGAGAATCTGACACCGACCGCCGCGAGTGAGACTCTCGCGACCTAATTTCCGGCAGGTCCCGCCTGCGGACTGTCAAGATTCCCATCGTTTTATCTGGATCGCCGAAGGGCAGATTCCGGAACCCGCAGCACCTTCCAGAATCCCACCAGACTTCAGGGTTCCGATTCTCAGTCGCTATGTTTTGAGACTCGCCAACCCCCCTCCCCTCCGCTAGTTGAGTGGCAACGAGCCACAACATGCAAACTTGTTTCGGGAAACAAAACTGAAAGCGGATTTTGTGGTTGGTTCCGCAGTCTCCCGAGATCAAGGGGAGTGCGTTAAACAAGCTTATCTCTCCGATCCCCAAGTTCCGCCTTCTCTTCCCTCCCCGCCGACCCCCTCGCCCCCCACTCCCCGTCCTTTCCCCGTGTCGAAGAGTCTGCTGTCAAGACGCCCTTGCATCCGCTCCCCACTCGCGGGTCGGTGGACCGCCGCTGTTCGCTATCCACGGTTGCTCGCCTATCGGCTGACATACCTACTAGTGGTGCTTTTTTCCCCATCGTATGTTGGCGGGAGCATAGCCAGAGGGCGCCACGGCAACTTCACCCAGTCTCCAGTGCTCAGCTGCCGACTGCTTCCTGGCTGGAAGTCGGCTCAACGATGGGATGAATTTGCTTGAACCGGCGATACAGCGAGGAACACCCCGGACAAGTCGGCTGGGTCGGAGGACGAGAAGGCGCGCAAAAGTTGGAGAGGGAGGGAAACGCGCGCGTAGAGAGACACAGTGGAACAACAGGGGTGAAAGACTCGCTCGGAAGACTGTCCCCAGGAGCACTCTGACATTCACTCACAAACACACTCGGAGCGAAGCACTGAACGAATGATCGCAAAACAATCTCCCTGGGAGACTTTCCGCGAAGCATTTATACTCACTTCAGAATCCAAGATCCAGGACAAATACTATTTTCTTGGTACCAGTGAACGGTGAGAGATTCCCGGCGAATCTGGAAGGGGGGGGAAATAATTCGAAAAACCGATGCCGAGAATGAATAAGCTTCCTACCCCTCCCTCGAGCCTTGGTTGGTCGCTGTTCCGGAGATACCCTGGATCCGGTGGAAAAATCTGGGCCTCGCAGGCAAGAGGTTCAGCTAAGAGGTTCGATACCGAGGCTTGTCGTTGTCTCCTTCTTCCCCTCGATTCTCCTCTCCCTCCCAAGAGTGATCCGCGTTTCCGATGCAGGTCACGCACAAGGAACTCGGAATACGGACAGACGGGAACATGGCTTGCGGAACGGCTGCCTTGCCTAGCATGCTTTGTTTTGAGCGGGCAAGAGGAGAAACGGGATAAGAATTCGTATGAAATAAAGAGGAAAGAGAGATAGAACGAGCAGATCAGGAGGGGAAGAGGAGAAGCGGGCAAGCCTGCTTTCGCGTGAAGGCATGCCAGAGGAGATCAGAGTTTCCTAGCGAAGGGGCTGAGGGTCAGGGGAGAAGAATAACGGGTCGGAGAGAGGGAGAGACCGAAAAAGACGGAGCGATGCCTTGTGCGCCTAGAGGAAGTGGATAGCCTTCCGGACAATAAATTGAGCCCTGAGGCTCATCGTGGTGCACAAGCAACGGAAAGAGAAAAAAGCTTCGAAAAGGAGGAAGGAGAAGAGGAAACTCCAACGGGCGAGCGCGGAGGGGGCTCGTCTGCCGCTTCGTACGACCGTCCGGTTGCTTGTGGCTGCGTGGGGTGGAGAAGAGAACTACGGAGGCGAGGCCAGCCGAGATAAACGAAGCAGCAGGTCTCTTGGGCAGTAGGCCCTGCCGCCCTCGTCCTCGTCGCCGCCGCAAAAGAAGAATAACTGGAGGGGGAACGAGATGTGAACGGGGAGCAGGCCACAAAAGAAGGGAGTTTCCACCATCTAGCTTACCAATTCCCCGCACCAACCGGGCAGCCAGCCGGCTGGCGAGTCAGTGCGCCGTCTTCTGAATTTGAATGCAAGACAGGGAGAATGGGTGGGGAGTCGGTTGGGGGAGGAGACGAGGGGTGAGAGGGGGGGGGTGGATCTCTCATGCCTTTAGCGGAGAGTTAATTGGATGGACGGATGGGTTGTCGACCGCTTACCCAGCCGTCCCGGCAGCCTCCTCTCCAGCCACGAACTCGCGCGTGGTCTCTCGTCGTCGGCGGCATCCAGAGTCGCGGTGCGGTCCGGACCATGTGCCTGTTTATGTCGCCGCGGACCTCCCCGCAGCCCTGAAAAGGGGGCGTCAATCGGAAACTTCGGCTGAAAGGACTCGCACACGAGTCCTTGCCGCCTTTCTTCTCCTCGGGCCGCGTATTCGAGCCCGGAATGTAATCTGGCCGAGACTTGACTCCAGCTATTCCTCTCTAGTTCACTAGTCTCTAAATCTCGCAAACTCCGAAGAGAATGGACCCGAGTTGTTATGCGAAAGGATTGTTTCGCTTGTCGTTGTTGACCCCGACGCGGAGACAGAGAAGCGTTTAATATATTCGCATCACGATATCCATCCCCACTGGCGACCCACCGCTGCCACCGCGGCCGCCATCACCGCGGCTGTTCGCCATCCCCTTGCCTCTCATTTTCTCTCGTTTCTCGCTCCCATCAGCAATCCTATAGCTGGGACCCTTCCCCTAAAACGACGGACCAACCACCATCTGCCACCCTCTGCCTGCACTGACGGTGACTAGTTCTTCTCTCTCGCGTAGGGTGGTTGTTCAGCACGCTGCCCTCGGCAGCCCGAATCCCTCTTTATCCTCTGTCGTCACCCCCCCCCGCCGGGTTTCTTCTCCCCGTTCCTCTATCTTCTTGTTCTCCTGGGTCCACTCTCTCCCACCTTTCGTTCCCCCTCTTCTTCGCCCCTGATTACCCTCACATTATTGCCCCGCTTGCTTAAAGCAGGAGCATTCCCTGAACCTAATTGTGTTCCTCTCACACTTGTACGAAGCCGCTCGCACTGTACTCCGACGGAGTTGTTGCTGGCGCTCCCGCGCACCGCTGGCGTTGTTGTTGTCCGAGCAAACACTGAATGGGAGCCGGGAGATACCGAAGGCACATCGCCACATCTTTGTCGGGTTGTTCGCGCGGAAAGATACTCGAGTCGAAAACACATTCCGATAAGGTCGGCAGCGCGCGCAACGGCGACGTCGATGAGAACCTGATTCTCACAACCAAATTGTTTCCTCTGGGGATTGAGAGGGAAACGAAACCATCCGGGACGCAATGATCGAATCGTGATCGTATCGGGGATTGGCGTCGATGGTATTCGAGAGCCGACCGAAGGCGGGAACGGGATTCCCGAGCTCGTCTCGAGCTCTCCACGAAAACTCGAAGTGGGTTTTTCGCTGACCTGCTGAAGGTGCTGCGTGGGCAGCAGAGTCGGCAGCGAACGAGCGAGGTCGACGACGGAACTAAATCTTAATGACTCATTCGCGGCTCAGTTATTAGCGTCTGCCAAGACAGGTTAGCAGCATAACGAAAAGAACGTCCTCCGCGACGGCACCATCCAAGAATAGAAAATAAGAGAGCACGCCGACTCACCGGACCGGGCGATCGTACACGAACGACCAGGAGAACGAATGAATGCCCAGAGGGAAAGAGGGCCAGATGGATCAAGCACGCAGGATTAAGGCGGGACACGCAAGCTTGGCCTCAAACCCCGCCGTTATTGAGCTTTGTATGCTGGGCCGGGTCATTGCAAACAATCGTCTTCTTTTCTGCCTCGGAGATTGTTCGTCCGCAAGTAGTAGGTGAGCGAGCCACTGGTTGCATCCCAGCTCGGGCAACAGCTCGCCACCACGTCATATGTTCGAGCTTGGAGCCTTTACCCCGGAAAATGCGCGA